TTTTTAAAGAAGAGTACTACTGCACCCTAAAACACAAAACAGGAGTTGCATGAAAAGGGTAAGATTAGAGCTGAAAAAGTGTAAAGAGCACAGTGTTTATAAACTTTAATACAGAAAATCTATTTGATATTTATTAAACTTAGTTTCTCCAGCTATGGTTTGGCATTATACAAAGCATCTTAATGACACAGTAGAGTTAAAAAGATCTTTACAAATTGAAATGTGATACCCTTGTTCTCCAAATATTTTAATTGCCATAAATTTGTTTAAAAATACACATTAAACGCATGTTTGACACTCTAAACTTTCTATAATTTCAATACCACAAAATACATATAATATACTATACAGATGTGGAAAAATCTAGTTAGTATATAATACTTTGCTCACCATTAACAGCTTTATTATGTGAAATGCACATACTGACTTAGAAATCCTAGCTTTTGAGCCCCAAAGTACCTCTGAAATTTTAATGTATTGCAACAAATAAAAATCACAGTATATAATTGAAATTTTGGTTGAAAAATGTCAGATGCCTAAATATTTTGGGTAAAAGAAATGTAAAACAAAGATTTAAATCATGTACAAAACAAAGGCATCCTATTAGTCACTAACAGTACCTTTCTGCAGAATCAATAGGCTTTTAATTTACTGGCAATATTACCTCCCCTCCAAAGCCCTCCCCAAATATCAAACCATTACTTACCAAATAATTTTAATTTCAAATAAAAGGATTTTCAATAAATATATAAGTATTTCTATCCTCCATATACAAAATTTCCTAAAACCATTCAAAACGGAGGCTAGATAGAAATTTTCATAACTGTGCTTACCAAACACACAGCTGGCCCTCAAAGGTGGTGCCTTTTCAGGCACTGTCAATTGGGCCAGCTCTGTTGGTGAGCCCCCCACCCTATCTTAGTACTGTTGAATGCAAATGTCAATGATCTGCCAGGTGTGTGCATAAAGTTGTAAAATGGGAACACTTCTTAAACAGCAACAACAAACTCAACAGTATGGATAACCATGGCGTTGATTTGAAAGGCAGCATTTCCAAATAGATATTTTCCAGAGAGGAACGTAGCAGGTAGAAAATTCCAATGGTTAAAAGCTGAAAAGAAACCCCACATGAAAGCAGTAAGAGGTCAAAAAACTGAATATAGCTACAATTTCTGGGTGGGAGCTTTTCCACATTTAGAAAGCTTTTTTTGTTTCTGTTTTAAGAATGGCAAGTTATGCTTAGCTGAACAATGCTGACAGGTAGAGGTCAATGCTGACATTCCCAAAGTCAACTCTTTACGTGTGACTACTAAGGTTGCTATTTTACAATGCTTGAAGATCTCTAAGACTTGCTTGCTTTAGACTTAAAACTGCAATACCTCATTCTGTGACCAAATTCCATTAAAAGACATTGTTATTCTTCCTCCCTTTACTTGAGACAGCAAGTTCTTTTTAATTAACCCTAGAATTTCATGTGAATAGGAGCTCAATAAGATCAGCATCTAACAACTTTACCAACTATTACCCACTTATTTCTTGTCACCAGCTTAGTTGCTTAGTTGTAGGGTCTAGAGGTCTAAAATGAATTTCTCCATTAGTGAATATGTGAAAGATGTGCTCAACAAACATGAAAAACTTGCTCTCTTGTCATGACATATTCTAAGCTGTTCAATAATTAGCTCTTTAATCGGTTTTACTGAATAGCAACCTTAGATGTGCAATATTATTACTGGAAAAAAGTCTGCCTCTCCAACACACTGATGCATAAAGTCAAAATGAAATGTGTGTTCCATGTAGGGAATATGAGTCATAGGAGTCTATATGGATTTGAAATGCTCTGGTGCCCCAAGTTACTTAAGTTTTTTAAAAAAACATCACCACAGTGCCTAAACAGTCATCTCCAGTAGATGATCCTGGGACCCAGACACAAACTCCTATAAATCAAAATACACAATGAGGCCATTTTGTTCAATTAGCAATTGGAAAATTAAAATCCTTCCCACCCTGTAAGAGCCCTGTTATACTACAGAAGGACTCAAATATATTTTAATAGTCATTTTACTACAAATCATAGTAATTAAGCTTTAACACTCTAAGGGAATACACATTGCACCCTTGAACATTAATGTTCAAGGTGTCAACAAGAAAGTGTCTTAGATCAATTTAATAAATAATGTGGAAATAGTTGCACTAAGCTAAAATACTAAACACACACATTTTTGACGAACTAATCTCATGTTTTCATACATACGTACATATATATAAAGTGTGTATGTGTACATAATTTTAAGATCCAAAGTTGCATACCCTCACACCTAGAAGAGTGCACAGTGTACCCCTCCTCTACATTACTAGGCATCACTGAGTGGAACAATCACTGGCTGCTCTGAAACTCTACAGAGCACTGGCCTCCAGAGCTAGCATTTTCATTTACAACAGTTGCCTTCCATAGGCTCCTGCTTCATGATGCAAGCTCATTCATTAAGTTAATGTACCAAAGTTTCAGTCGTTAAATACAAAATGATACTGTCTGACCACGCTTATTAAACCTTGAATGAAAAGAAATGAACAACAATTTAAAAACAGTGAATCTAATAAAGCCACAAGTGTGACACTCAAGGTGCAGCCCAGATGCCTATGGATCTATCTGTGCAAAAGCTCTCCAGAAACACAGGCGTGTGTGGGCACGTGCACACATTACTCTAAATTGCTTTTACATTGGATAATTAAATCAGTGGTGGTCAAACTTCTCCACTCTTCGGCAGCTATAGCTGTAAATTTATCTGAAAGTACTCATGCTTATATAGTTGGTTCTTGGCTACTTGCCCAGAAAAAGGTGGCACTGAGGCAAGGAATGGGCTGGATGCTCTCCAGCCGAACTAGAGCCTGGATCGAGCTGTGAAAGTCTGAATCACCTGAAAGGGATTGCTCCCCACAGCCCAGCCCAAGCAAGACTACTATGACAACTTCATCCATTGTAAAGAGTCCAATGTGTAGGATGCTGCCTCCTGGCATACAAGTGTGGTCGTAAAGAGCAGTCAACAGAGTAATTGTTAAAATAGTTGCTACGTAGTATTTCTATAATTAACTATATATTAAGTACAAGTCTTAGACTAAGTAAAGTTTTTAGCCACTTGTCAAATTCAGTTTTAAATGGTTAGAAAACACTGAGGACACTTACTGAGGAGGGAGGAATGGTCACCTGTAAAGGAGTCCAAAGAATGTGCTAGAGCAGATGATGACACAGACAGAACATCTGAGAAGACAGACATGGAGGAGAGAGAGTAGTATTTCCACAGCTTTGACAATGAAAATTCAGTTATTTAGAATAAAATTTTGATCCACCACCCATTACTATCTTGTGGGAAAACCCCTCCACAATGAAAAGCTTAAAAAAATTATTCTCTAAGAATTAACACCGTTTTAAAGAGAAAATATCTTATAGAGCAGCACCATAAAACATGCAGGAAATTCGGCTTTAACAAAGTTATCAGTGTGACCAAGAAGTGCTCCTGCTGCCTTTCAGGACACACAAGAGACTAGAATACACCAGAACTGAGAGGTGCCCCACTGGCTGTTGTTGAAAGTCTAAAAGCCCAGAGGATACTTTTTCCACTTCTAAGACATCACTGCAAATTAAGGAATCAGAGAAATCAGGACAGGACATAACATCTACCTGCTTAATAAAAGCTATTTCTTACTAAACAGCTATCATGATCGCTGAGTTGTTCTCTAAAGGAAAACTGTTCCTAGAACACACTAAGATTAAATTAAAAAGGTATCAGAGGCAATTTATCCAAAGGAAAAAGATTAATTCAACATAATGTATCTTCATCTTCAGTGATGTAAAAACAACTTGAGGTACAAAACAGTTGAGAAGCTCTATAAATATGAGGCCACAGGACAATGAAATACACTAGCTTCAGAAATAAGAGTGAAAAAAAGACTCACACAAAATTTACCACACCATTGGACTGGGAGCTTTTCTATCCCTTCTTCCCCCTTTCCCATTTCAAGCCTTAGCAATCAATTACAAATAGTGGGGCAATGTTTTTTTTTTTTCTTCTTTCAATGGATGGGTTTATTTTTGGAACGGGAAGAAGGACAAATTGTTTTTTAAAGCAGCATCACCCAATTGGTTCGACTAAGTCATGTACTAAAGCATTTGCTTTTCTGAAAGAATGAATCTTTATGTGACCCTAAAGGAAGATTTAAAAGGAAGAGAATTTAACATTATTACTGTAGAAGACCAACCAGTTATGAACAATCTGGTCCTAGTGTAAAACTTTATCTGTAAACAATCCACAGAGTCTTCATTTAAAGGTAAGATTTAAGGCACACCATATATGATAGGGGCATTAAAAACAAAGTATATATAGAGGGTAAATGTCTTACCTTTGACTCCTATATGCACCTTGTAGGGAAAGGTACTCAGATATACAACTCTTACAGAGCTGGCTTCTTAAGCTCTATCCCCATTCCCCTCCCTTTCTCAAGACAGCTCACATTAAACCAAGTTAGGTACTTTCCTAGTGTGAATTTTCTGATCCCATCAGAAACATACATCATTGATAAGGGTCTTCATAATACAAAGGGAATAAATACAACACAGACTTTAAAAGGAAAAATTCATCATCTCTACATCAGGCATTAGAACTGTAAGTTGTATACCAAAAGCACACACACCAAAGCTCCAGCCTATTTGTACATCAGTCACTGTATGCACATATCAGAGCATCACAATCTAGTAGGAGGAAAACAAAAATCTAAAAAAGATTTTAGCCTTCAAACATTGTCAATTAAAGAGACATAGGCAGCAATCCTCAGGAGTTGGATCATCCTTTTTTCCCACAGTCACGTATTCTTTCAAATAGATATCAAATAATTAGCAACAAAAAGGAACACACGAACTGGGCACATTGTGTGCACCTGTTATGCTGGCTACTTACACCTGTATTCCCAGCTACTTGGGAAGTTCGCTTGAGCCCAGGAGTTCAAGATCAGCCTGGGCAACACAGCGAGATCCCATCTCTTAAAAACAAAACATGGTTTTAATAAAATCCACAAAGTTCAAGATTGTCCTTTTATGAAACTTCAACATGATATGCATCTTCTACAAAGTTTGCCTGCCCTCTTTTGTAATGCATTAAATGCAAGGAATAGTCACCTTGTGATTGCTGTAGTGTTATTAACACACATTCACAGTTTATGAAATAATGCATACCAAATCAGACACATTTCATCTTACATCCACGTAGAATGCCATCTTCTCACATATATAAGTGATTTTTCATATGTAGAAGAATATCCTTAATACCATAAAGTCTACAATAAGAAAACTGTAGTTAAGATTTCAAATAATAACATCAGGTAGTAGGTATAGAAAGATGTCCTTATTTTAGGTGAACCAATTCTTACTCTTAGAAGAGCTACCATAAAGACATTATTAGGTAACAAACCTCCCAAAGTATATAAATAAAAATGTCTACATTAAATTTATGCTAAATATTCAACAAAGTAAATTTACAGACAGAAACAACTAAGTTTTAAACTAGCCCCAATCTGGGAACTTTAAAAATTAAAATAAATAGAATTTCAACTGATTAGTTATGAATTGCAACTGGAATTCAATCTTATTAGAGATCACTGAAACCATCTTATCAATGTGCTGCAGATTTAAAAGCTTTTAAATAATTTTTCACATTGGGAATATTAAAGGGGCCAATTGACATGACGGTGTTGGGTTATAAAAACAACACATGAACCAAGGAGGAGAAAACCATTCCTTATTCTTAGTGTCGACTAGGTGGCGTGGTATGGCAGTTTTCCTTTGTGATGTGACACAGTGTTGTGGAGAAAATCAGAGGCAACGAGAATGTGTTCAGTTCAAGATATCAACTTGGCATCCTGGCGAAGCCAGTGCAGTCCCTGCCGGGTATAACGAACTAGATCTGTCATGATGCTTGCATTAAAGATGAGAGGACCCATTACTTTATCCAGTTCAGCAAAGAATTCTAGAAAACCAAAATATTTGTTAAATGATGCAGTCTTTGAATTATTGCTCTAAAATTTGAGTATAGACTATAGAATAGCATTCATATGACGCCAAATAATACTCCCTATCCTAGTAAAATGATTACTATCCATGTCTTAGAACAAATCATTCCAATCTCTCAAGTTATATTCTAAGTCTGTGATCTCCAACACCCAGGCCAAGGTTTATGGCTGTTAGGCACAGCAGGTAAGCGGCAGGCGAAGCTTCACCTGTAATTATAGCTGCTCCCCATTGTTCACAACACCAAATAAGCTCCACTTCCTATCAGATCAGGGGCAGCATTAGATTCTCACAGGAGAATGAACCCTACTGAGCATGTGAGGGATCTAGGCTGTGTGTGCTTTGTGAGAATCCATACCGCTCCCCATCCATCCAAAAACTGTCTTCCACGAAACTGATCCCTGGTGCCAAAAAGGTTGGGGACTGCTGCCCTTAGTCATGTAACACTTAAATAGAATGTATGGTCAGAAAATCCACTGATATATATTGCTACTATGCCATAAACACAATTAAAATGAAGACTTAGTGCCACAATATATTATTTGATTTTTTTTATTTTTTGAGACAGAGCCTCAAGCTATCCCCCTGGGTAGAGTGCTATGGCATCACAGCTCACAGCAACCTCCAACGCCTGGGTGCAAGCGAGTCTCCTGCCTCCGCCTCCCAAGTAGCTGGGACCACAGGCGCCCACCACAATATCTGGCTATTTTTTGGTTGCAGCCATCATCGTTATTTGGCGGGCCAGGGCTGGATTCAAACTCACCACCTTATGTGTACGTGGCTGGCGCCTTAGCCACTTGAGCCACAGGTGCCGAGCCTTGATTTTTTTTTTGAGATGGAGTTTCATTATGTTACTCTCGGTAGAGTGCTATGGTGTCACAGCTCACAGCAACCTCAAACTCTTGGGCTTAAGCGATTCTCTTGTCTCAGTCCCCCAAGTAGCTGAGGTACTACAGGCGCCTGTCACAACACCCAGCTATTTTGTTGTTGTAGTTGTCGCTGTTTAGCCAGCCTGGACAGGGTTCAAACTTGCCAGCCCTGGTGTATGTGGCCAGCACCCTAACCACTGAGCTACAGACACTGAGCTTATTATTTGATTCTTAAAACATTTTGTGTACTGTTTTTGTATAAGAAGCAAGTGATAAGAAAAGAAAATATGTTCTTTGCATGTTTCCCATAACATCCAGCCCCTACAAGGTAAGATACTTATGACAGCCAGCCTGTATCAACCTTTCAGCTATAATCATATGCCATGTACCACTGATAAACTAAATCCATGACAGTAATTTAAAAAATCTAAGGATTCCTCCTCTGTGAACAAATATAGGCTGGTGGACCTGTGAAAGGCTCCTCTGAGTGGAGGAGGAATAACAATATCCTAAGATTTGATCCTGGTATAATTTGGGGGGGCAGGTAAGGGGAAAAAGGACTAAGAAGAGGGTTTTCAGATGTCCAGGGAAAAGAAAGAGGCAAAATGCCCAGTGAATTTTCTATTTCCTAATATAATGATGGAACCAGGCAATGATTGTTAGTGGATGCTTATGTTTTTTTTTTTTTTTTGAGACAGGAGCCTCAAGCTGTTCCCCTGGGTAGAGTGCCATGGCATCACAGCTCACGGCAACCTCCAACTCCCGGGTTCAAGAGAGGCTCCTGCCTCAGCCTCCCAAGTAGCTGGGACCACAGGCGCCCACCACAACGCCTGGCTATTTTTTAGTTGCAGCCGTCATTGTTGTTTGGTGGGCCTGTGCTGGATTCAAATCTGCCACCTTGGGTGTATGTGGCTAGCGCCTTAGCCACTTGAGCCACAGGTGCCAAGCCGTGGATGCTTATGTTAAAGTATAATAGACATTCTGGCCTGGCACGGTGGTTCACGACTGTAAACCTACTACTCTGGGAGGCTGATGTGGGTGGACTGCTTGAGCTTAGGAGTTCAAGACCAACCTGAGCAAGATATGAGACCCTGTCTGTACTAAAAAAATAGAAAGACTAGCAGAGTGTCATGGCAGTCACCACCTACTTGGGAAGCTGAGGCAAGAGGATCTCTTGAGACCTAGAGTTTGAGGTTGCCATGAGCTATGGTGACAACTTGGCAATCTACCCAGGGCAACAGAAATTCTGTCTCAAAAAAAAAAAAAAAAAAGTGGTGTTAACAGGGATTCTTACATCAAATTGACCAGGCCGATACTACCTGATTGAAATTCAATTTACTAACCAAATTTAATATCACCAAAGAGTGATAACAATTACATACCTCCTGATATGATGCAATAGGAAACTCAGAACTTCATCTATGAAACATTCTTAACTGAAATGCTGAACCTGAATGTAATCAAGTCTCAAGAGGCAATTACCAACATAAGAAAAGAAGGGGGATGGAACAATAACCAACCTCATGATGAAGTAATTTGTCAAATTCAGAATATGACACATTCTATGGCCTGGGTTAACCTCAAAAATCAATGGCATGGCAAAAAAAAAAAGGTGGGGAGGAGGGAAAGACACTTAAACTTATAACGAAATTCAATGTGCAGACCTTGGTTGGATTCTGCTTGAAATAAATGCAACTATTAAAATAAAAGACACATTTGACACAGCAGGAGAAACATTATGTATGGTAGACTAGGTATTAGATGATGTTAATAAACTAGGTATTATATGATGATAATAAAAGAGTTATTAACTTAGCTGTCATAAAGGCATGGTGGTCTTGTTTTTGAAAAGTTCTTATCACTTAAGGATGCCCAGCAAAGCATTTTCAGGTGAAATTTCATGCTATCTGGTATTTGCTTTATAATACTCCGGGGGTAAAGAAAAGTATGAGGGAAGGAGGGAGGAAGGAAGGAAGAACAGGAAGGAGTGAGGGAAGAAAGGGAGGGAGATGAAATAAGACTGGCAAAATGTTGTGTGGTTGAAGCTAAAGATGAATAAAAGTTAAATGGGGTTTACTCTATTAAATTTTCTCTCCTTTAATCAATGTTTGCAAAATTTCCCAAAAAAGGGGGGAGGGAGGCTAGAAAACTGGCATCAATGAGAAGAATGACAAGTAGGGGTGACTTAAAGAAATTTTAGCTCTATAACTTTTCCTGAAGAATACTGACAATGCTTAAAATTTGGGGAACAAATAACCTTTCCCATAAACACAACTTTATGTTAAATGTTGGGGTCCCTCTTCTACCTTTCACATACCATACCTTCTTAGTGTTATAAATCTTTTTTTTTTTTTTTTTTTGAAACAGTCT